AATGAGAATGAAAAATATAGCCGTTATTGAGGCCCACATAAGAGATAGAAAATTTGAATTTAAATGTTGATGTGATGGATAACGGTCATATTTTTCATTTTAATGAGATAATGTAGATCAGACGGGATTTAATAACCTACTTCCCAAGGTGGGAATTTTCCAACTTATTAAAGCCATTCAAAAGTAATTAATGTTGGTGCTTTAATTAGGACAATTAGCTTTCAAACTTTTTCTTTAATGATGGCATCTAAGTCAAAATTATTCAGTTAGACAGACCCATCTATTCAAAGTAGACTAACCAGGTCCTTTTGTAGATATTTTATATATAGTCAGGGTGAATTTGGAATACATTCTTTTGAAAGAATGTATTATTGAATAGTAGATTGATGAAAAATATGTGATGAAAAATGAAGGAAAAGTTATTGATGTGATGGAAAATATTATTTTATTGAAAAATGTGTGGTTGAAAATGAGTAGAAGAATGAGAATGAAAAAAATAATGTGTATCAAACGAGGCCTTAATTTATTTATGCAATGAACTAAACCCTAACTTGGATTGTAGTACATAATGCACTGTTGTAGCCCCTATATTTGAAAGTTTTTTCTTTTTCTCAGCCGCTGTTTGTCATCTTTTAAAATTTTAAATTGATTGTCACAGTACCATTCTGCATCACACATTTACACAATAAATTTATCTACACACAAATGAATAAAATTTTCTTACTTTTTAATCACACATTTTTCATCAATTTACTATTTTATAATATATTACAAGAAAATAATGGCTCTCGAATAGGGCCTTATTATGAAGATGAATGTTACATTTTCCGCTCGTAAGATCTCATATTCAGTTCGATTAAGAAAATTTGATTAAAATTTAAGTCAAAGTCAAAATTTCATTGAACCCACAACTTTTCAATGTCACATCCTATTAACTTTTATCGAAATTTACTAAAAAAATGATTTTTATCTAAATCAAACGATGGCTATAATCGTAGCATTTCATCTCCGAAAGGCGAAACTTTTGTCGAAATTTACTAGAAAATGATTTTTATCTAAATCAAACGGTGGCTATAATCGTAGCATTTCATCTCCGAAAGGCGAAAGCTACATTCGTTTTTAATGTTTGAAAGTCTAACTAATGATGTTTTATTATAAATTTTGTACTCCGGCGAAGTTTACTGCGTGGATTATGCCGTCTAGCCCTTAAAAAAATCTGGTATTGCATTAATAGTATTAAAATGGAGTAGGCTGTGTAGCCCTTAGAAAACTTGTTAGTACTGAACTGAATTGTTTCGAGTATAGATGCATGTTGATTTGCTTTTGAAGTCAAATTTTAGAAAAGTGTTATCGTTAGAAAAAAAATAAGGAAGTTGAAAAAGAAGATTCGAAATATATTTAGATTGAATCGATTGTCCGACTTGGTAGTAGTGTTGTGCTTTCAATAGAAGGGTGATTTGGTAGTACCCGACTAAAAAGATGGGCCACTTTGAGTTAAGGTTGTCCCGTCTAATCTATTTTACACTATTTGTGCTCGATGATGTACAAAAAAGTAAAAAGAGAAATAGCACATAAGATAAGAATGTGTTGGATAAATTGATGCATAAGAATAAGCAAATCACGACTTATTCAAACGTCAAAAATGCAGAAATTAAAAGGAAATGAAGTGAAGCGATGTATGTGAATCAAAATCCCCTTAAGATGAATTTCGCTCCCTGCACTAGTGCTAACATGATCAAATGAATATCCGTATCCCAAGATATAATGCTTTTTCCAAAATGAATATAGCACAATATTGATTTTGCTTGACAAACTAGTGCTTGATTGTACTTTTCTAAAATGGAAGATAACTTGGAAAGGAAAAGAATTACTGTGTGTTTGGTAGGAATTTTTTTGGGAAGAATTGATTTTGAATAGTGATATGATGGGAAATGTGTGGTTGAAAAAGAAGAAAAAATTATTGATGTGATGAAAAATATTATTTTATTGAAGAATGTGTTGTTGAAAATGAGAATTGATTNAAGATAAGATTATTGATATGATAGAAAATATTATTTTATTGAAGAATGTGTGGTTGAAAATGAGAATTGATTTACTGTTGAAAATGAGAATTGGTACCAAACATAGCCTTAGAAATCAAATATATTGAATTGATTTGGAGTGAAGAATATGAAATTATGAGGCTCTTATTTATAGATTTCCATACGTCTCTTCCTAACGGTCGTATCTATTGGCAAAATTAATTTTAACCAATAGATCGCACAATTTCATAATTGATGGTTTAGATTACATCTTAACAAAAAGTTATGACTTTTCGTTGTGCACATTTCACACTTTAAGAGTCGCATCCAATCATTAGACGGAGGCTTTTTCCAACTCACACTATAAAGTATAAATAATACCAATTATTCCAACAGAATGCATTTAAAACTTTTTGTTTGGTAAAAATTCTTTAAAATTCATTCTCTTCGAATTCATTTTTAATCTCACTTTTTTTTTTCAATAAAATTATTTACACGTGGATCCAAAAAATTTTCCGTAATTTTTTTTCACAAAATCTATTCTCAAATGATCTATATCAAATAGTCCAAGAGCATCTTTGAAGATAATCCATGTTAGGTTGGGATAGTCTAAAAGTTGTTACGGGGTTAACTGGGCAATGTTACAGTTCAAAAATATCAACAATGTATTATAGATTTGTACACTATCTAAAGGGACAACATACATTTTGATTAGTTTAACGTTTTCCCTCTCTCTCATACACTTTGTTGCTTTGTTCCAAAGCTCAACAAAAGAATTTTAGTCCATAAAAACCCTTTTTATCAAGGAAAGTTCTGAAATATATTATTTTTGGTAAGGAGAAAGAAATGCAATATCTAAAATGTTTTTAATTATAGTTGTTAGGTCCCAAATCAACAGATTAGAG